GAGTGTACACAGTGCAGGGCAGCCCAGATCCCACTTTCTCTGGGGCTGCACTCTGTGTGCAGGTGAAGGCTCATCCAAGTCTCTGCCCTTGCTTGGATTTTCTCTTGGAATGAATGTACCTTTATAATTAGGTGATTTATGGATTTTCAGCCAGGTTTAATACCGAGAAAAGATTCCCTTTATATGACCTGGCATGGGAGAGATTAGAAACCTGAACTGAAGAATTTGAGGGGGAATTGGGCAGGGAACTGCACGGCATAGCCACTGTCAAAGACATTCATAAACAAATTTCTCAGATTGCGCTTGGGTTTTGGCTGCCTTGATTTTTGATTGCTCAGATCTAGAAAGCATTTTAAGAAAGGCCAAACTCAAATGAAATCAGTAGCAATGCCAGGCACTTGACGTATAAGAAAAGTGAAGCAGGCTTCTCTAGCATATGCTTACTCCAATTTCAGAAGCAGTCTAGCAATGTTAACATCAGTTTTCATTCTTTTTCATTCATTTGTCATGTGAGGGTTAAATGTTACGAGTTGCCACAGACATGTATCAGAAAGCCTGCAGCAGGTGCAATACAGGTATTTCCAAGAAGCACTGATGGCCAAAGAATTCTTCTCAATATGCCAAATTATAATGAATTACCCTTTTGTCAGCTAGTTTTATTCTTTTCAAGTTTAGCCATGAAACTGCACCAAACACAGATTATCTTTCAAGCCAATGGATATTTTGTCAATTAAGTAATTACCAAAATTGTACCCCATGTCATCATGGTTACTGGCCTCAGAACAGCTCCATGGACTCAGCCCAGTCTTCAAAGGCTGTAACTGGTCTGCATTATTTACTCAAGTAACTACAGCAACTTATTCTCTCTGAAGATCTGTCCCAGAAGGATGTATCATGATTTAGCTGAAGAAGCAGATGAAGTAAGAGGTTCGATGGCTCTTTAAATAGAGAACAAACAATGAAGATGAAGGCAATGCCTACATCTGGAAGAGAATAGAGGCTCCCTGGATGCAATGACTGTTACGAGATATCAACGATACCGAGGAATCAAACATGAAGTTTACTACAGTGGGCAAAACCCAACAAGGTATCTTCCATTGAAGCGCGCTCTATCCATGCCTGTGCAATACCCAGGTACACATGGGAAGCCCAGTAAAGTGTATCTCTTTCTTGTGCTCTGATTGGATGCACCAACGATGCGCAGTTGTGCAGCTGCAGTATAATACAAGCAGTCACTACAGAAAGTTCACTTTCTAACATCTTACATGGGTCAAATCCTTGTGTCTTTTTTGGTCAGTGCTCTAGCCATGGTGGTGAAGACATTGTGTGGAGTGATAGGGTCATTCTCAACAGGAGGAGGGCATGAACCATGGTAGAGAGGCTGCACCTTGGATCAGTGGGATAGGGGTGAGAGCCTCCCCACTGACTGTGGGTGTCTCTGATCATCTGACATCTAAGCAAGTCACCCTCTGCTCCCTTTGAAGTTCGTAGAAATTTAGACATTGTAGATAAATGGGTTAAAGATGAGATTAATCTCTTCCTAAAGCTGATGTGTGCTTTGGTTCGTGTACCCTGTGCTCACCAACTGTACTGATTAGTTTTTCACCAGCTGTAAAGAGTGCATAGCCATCAAACTTGACATCAAATGGATGCTATTTCATGGACACCTGGATTGACATCAGATGAATCCTGCATAGGATATTTGGACAGGTTGGTTTCACTAGCTGTGTAGCTGCAACATTCCCACTGTAGTGGTGAGATCTTTGATTAATTTCTGCCCTGTTCCCAGTGGGTTGGATTGTTTTCCTGCTCCTCCTCGACTTAATTTCCAATTGCCATGAAAAAATATTTGGCTGAGGCCTAGGGAGCATACTTAACCCTCTTGCTCAGGGACAGGTGATAAGAATGGTATTTATTTACTTGTACATTGATCTTAAATATGGCACACATTCATGAATTTGGAGCAGTCCATTTCCAAGAGAAACAGTAAACAGGGAGAAACAGTAAACAGGGAGAAACAGATCCTGGCAGCATCCCACATTGTGGAACTCCCAGGGAACAGAACAGCGATACTCTGCACATCTGAGGAGCTCAAAGTGCTTGGCAAATATTAGTGAATTGAGCCTTACAACCTGTATATATGTACGGAAGTATAACTCCCAATTAACATATTGGGAAACTGAGGCACAGTTACATTATGCAGCTTACTTAGCAGCACATAAGTCAGTAAAAGAGTGGAGAGTATAAACATGGAAACTGCACAACCTTATTTTTGGAACAGAAAGAAAATTTGGCCCCAAAAGTAACAAATGGCCTGAGCAAAAGATTTTCTACAAAATAGCATTGTAGTCACGCTTTGAGCAATTTTATAAACACTAGTGGAGATTTTCGAAGTAGTTTGAGGGATTAATATTTACATTTTATAATAAATAAATACCCATGACCAATCCCAGGAAGTGGCTTTGATAATTTTAAATTCTAGCCCTAATTTCATTTTGACATTGTATTTCATGGGTAGTTGTATAATAGATCACGAGAAACATTTAGTTCATGAAACAATTTCAGTAAGGTCATTTACTTTGACTCAGCTTTTTCCCTGCTTTGAATATTAGATGTTCTTGGCTAGGTTGGTTAGAGATTGATTTACTTATATTGGAAAATGGATTCAGACATTATGTTTCCACAAAGGGATTTTGCTCCTGAAAATATTTTTACTTTGCTGTTCTGTTTACAAAATGTAGCAAGGACCGCCATATCTTGCCTGTCATCAATTCACCATTGTTGTATTGAAGAGTATCAGATAGATATGTATCGTAGAAGAAATCAGCTGTACCATTTATATAGGGTAAAGTCATGCAAACCATGCTCAAAACTAAGCTCCTTAGTTTTGGTAGCATGAAAAAAACTGCATTAGTAAATTGTATGAAATGGTGCAGAATGACTACCACTAATATCACATGCATCTTATGCAGCCATTGGTGTTTTGAACTAGTAAGCTTTGGGTGTAGAGTAAGTGAGATATACAAAGTATGCTTACATTACATGGAGAAGTCAACCAGTGACTGCCCACACACACACTTTTAAACTGGCTTATTTGAAGGGGTCCATATTGAATCTGAAATCCCATCTCCTGTAGAAGACAAAGGCATGGAGCCACTTGGTGTAAAAGGGTCGGTGTCTGTGTCCGTTTCCCCCTCTGCTAGGTACCGTTTCTCTCTCATCCACGCCGATCCCCCATTGGGGCCAAACGGGAAGTCATCTCTGTCTTGGGAGATACTGAAGCCACTTGGGGAGCGCTCAAGTTCCTCATGGTTGACAGAGAGAAGGGATAATGGAGTATCGCTGTCTCTTGTTAAGCTCCTCCTCTGCCTTGGAGACGCCTTATCTGAGTAAGGGCTTTGCAGGTCTCCTTGAGAGTGGTAACTAACCTGGGAGTCCATTAATGTAAATATAGGCAAAACTGTTGGCCTTTCTGCATATGAAGTTGAGGAGGGTGTGGCTTGCAGTTTGCCAGAGTTTTGCCCACCTGTTGATAGAGGTTGTGAATGAGTCATATGACCATGTGCTGAGAAACCGTAAGGACTGACTTTGTTGACTGGAACCTGCTGGAAGTTGTAAGGAGTTTCATGAGCACACTGCTCAGTGTATTTATATATTATTGTTTTTAATTCAGAATATTTGTTTTCTTCTCTCTTCTCCTTTGCAGGAGAAGCAGTTTCTTTCAATGGACTTATCTCAGCGACTTGTATTTGCAGCTGTTCCATATGATGCATATGCATATCAACAAGAAAATCCAGTTTCTTCCCCATGTCATTAACCTGAAAAATACCAATGTTATGATATTGTCTCAAGTCAGTGGTCCAATGAAAGAGCCAATGCTTCCATAGGTGCAGTGCCCCCAGCAAGGATGTGCTGCCATCTTTATTGGTCATGAAGGTAATTATAGGACAATCATGTCTTTCCCCTGGAAGCTGGACTGCAGTGGATGCCATCCTCTAACTGCCTCAGATTAAGAAGACCAGTCCCTATGAACTGTGCCAAAAAAATTCTTAGTGTTGCTGGGTATTTGGCAATCCAGTGTCCAACAGCAGTCTACAACATTATGACCAAAGTCTTGATACCATATGGTAAATAGATATTACCAAAATACAACAGATGGAATTACCTTTGCACACAGCCCTACCCTCTAACTTTTAATAGTCCCACAACATCAGGGTTAAATATCAGGACTATTTTTCTTTCTCTTTTGATAGTACTTTGTGCCTGAACATTTACATTCCATGAAAGAAATTGATGTGAATCAATGCCACTAGACTCCATGTTACTTAGTTATGTATTTAAAAATGAGTGTCTTGACTTGCTAAGCAATAGGTTAGGATGTACAAAAAGGGCCCAGAAATACCTGTGTAGACAATCCTTTTGAGTGCCAGGCCCTGCAAAAGAAGGTGGTGCTCACGGCAAAACACCAGACATGATGAGTATGGAGTTAAAGGAAGTGAAATAGTCCCATGTAAACATCGTGGTTAGGGTCTTGCTGCCATATATAATGATATTCATTCAACAGGTTTCAAAATGTACACTTCCCAGTTAATTAAATTCTTTCATGAAAAACTAACCACATAGTTTTGTGACCATTAGTACAAGATCTGTTTGAGTCTTGATCACCAACAGTACAAATCTGCCTGGGTCAGACAAAGACTCATACAGAATTTATGTCAGCTTTATCATTTTTGTACAAGTGCCTCAACCTCCATCATTGTAATGAAATTACATACCTGTCGTTCAACTTTAACAAATTTGCCCATCATACTTTGGTCTTCAGTATCTGCTGTGGATGCTTTGGCTACATATGGATCATTTCTATAAAGAATTAATAACTCTATTAGTGTTCAATTTTTCTTTGCATCACAGTAAGTAATTTATATCAGAAAACAGAATTACCATCTTGGTGGTATGTAGCTCCTTGGAGCCCCATTTAAGAAAAAATTGAATTTAGTTATTTATCATACAAACAGGAGCAAAGGTCTATTCTATGTGATTCCAATGCATTTCTAAAAATAATGTTTTACTGATTTTTAATTTAAAATTATTTTTGTTCAAAATTAAGATAAAGATTAAGAAAAAACAAAAGCAAACAAAAAGTTCAAAATGAAAGTGAAATTCATCTCAGACTTGGAATAATTTCAGGTTTGTGAAAAGTGTTGAGATAGCCTAGATAGAGGGTCTATAGATGGACTTGTGTTTTTAAATCTAATTCTTTCTCATTAGTGTGTTTGAAGACTGAATCTGAGTTTCAAGGCTGAGTGGTTTGGTTTTTTTCTCAATTTCATTAAACCAAATAGTAAGTGGCAGAGACTGGAAATGCTGGAAAAAGACAGTCTGGCCATGAGATTTAAAGTGGATTCCAGAATAAATTTTCTTCTATGTAATTTCCTACTGCCCGTCCATCAGATGGACTAACTTCAGGAGGTAAGATGATCTCTGCTTAACTAAAGAACTTTGATTTATAATTTCATGGGATCTGGGATGCTCATTATCAAATTAAACCTTTATCTAAAGGGTTCCAAACCAACCTCAAAGGAATCTATGTCTTTCCATAATCTATGTCAAAGTCTAGAAAAACAATTTCTAAGCACTTGTTCTTTAACATGACTTAGAACAAATATACCCTAAAACTTTTGTTTTAACAGGTCCAGTTCTTCTCTTTCTGACAAAATTCAAAATATAGCTGTGAATATATCTTACTGAAGCAGAAACTGTAACTAAAACGTGTCAGATTTTGCACATTGGGTTACTGATGATATGGGCTCGTTCAAATTTTGCAATCTGCTTTGTTTCCCAAATGATCATTGCCTCTTCCATATAAGTAGGTCTCTGTCTTCACATTTACATGTTTTTAGATTTTTCACTGGGTGGGATAAACCAGATAGAGCCAAGTTAATTTGTTTTCTGTAAGATTACTTTTGTTCTGAGCAACCATAACAGCTTTGGGGACAGATTGTTGATGGTCTTGTGTGGTTCTTCATGGGTATTTATTGACAGATTGATAGTTGTAAATAACAGAAGAAATGTCATTTATTATTGAATTCTTGCTACCAGGAATGCAGCAATACAATAACATGCTGTAACTTTCACACCCAGAAACCTGGTCTTGAAATTTATTTTCAGTAATTCTCATCAATCATTGGTTTAAAAGCAGCATCATTAAAACTCTGTGCTTGCCATTTGGTGGGGGCTATAATGAAACTTTTTTCCCTTCAGGAAGATAACTGGTTTACCATCAAACTATTGGTGATTTTTATTGAGTTTTTAACTGGGTTTACTAGTTGAATGTTAGAAATTCAGCACATCAGCAATCAAATGTACGTATTTCATATAAAATCACATTTCCAAAATGTGGAGAAGCTGAGCTAGACAATTAAGAAGCCATTAAGTTTGATTTCCATCATACATTGTTCTTAGGGAAGAAATTGTTGAGACATTGTCTTTCTGGCTCAACATTTGATGAATGATATCTTGTAGCAACATATCCTCTCAGTATCATTACTATAACAGTGTACTGGCTGGATGAATGAAGGGCATGCTTATTGGTATGAATTAACTTTTTATTTTTGTTTTGGTCTGTACAAAATATTAGGCATAAAAAATTCACCTGGGAGACTGTTGTGAAGGGTAAGAAAAAGCTCCTCCCTTTTGGGATTTCTTATGCTTGGGAGTAGATGGAGGTCCAGGTGTAAAAATCATATCTACTCTGAAAAAAAGAAAAGTGCAACTGCATAAGTCCATCTCTAAATGCTAACACATGATAGAAAATGCTATGCACCTCTGCAGCAAACAGTAGCAAAGATTCAAAAAGGAAGCATGTTTCGGGGTCATGACATGTTTGTTCTGTTCTGGGTCCACAATCAATACACTGAATTGTAATTACCTGGTAATTTCATGGTAATTAAGTAATTATCTAGCTCACTATTTCCAAACTTTGACATTTGAAACACATTACTTCATTTCCTTCAAAGGAACTAAATAGTGTGATTGTCAAAAAAGCTCCAATAACAGCTGCTCCTAGAAATGTCAGGAGAGACCCATCAGGTTTTATGCTGGATAGTGAAAATCAGCATTTGGTGAAAGGTGGCAATTCCTGATACTCTTAATAAACCAATAACTTTCTAGCAGTTATTGTGCCTAATTATCAGTAATTTTTTTGTCTTTACCAATTATTCTTTTGGTTTGAAAAATATAACTATAAATGATGTTTCACAAGGAATCCTACTTGACTTTTTTTTTGGAACAAAACCAAAAGGATTGTTTGGGAGGCTCCAGCATATTTAATTACACTCTTTTACTATATCGATATATTCTTTCATTTGGCATATCCAAGTGCTCAGGTGCAAGCAAACCTCTGTTCATTCAGCCCAGACACCAAACTGACCAGGTATCAGTCAGCGCTAGTCACAGAGCAGTTATCTGTATTATCAGACAATCTGTGCAGGTACATTGCATGGCTTAATGATGCCCCATGGAGTTTTGAAAATGGAATTTAAAAAAGCTCAAGGCAAACCTCACAAAGCTAGCTAGATATTTGCTAGGCACCCAAGCATTGCAGGGCCATCAGTCAATGTCTCATCAAACTCCTATGGCATCTCACTATTCATAGACACAATGAGTAGTACTCACCTCCCTGGTTTTGTCCGATTACAGTCAGTGGAGATCTAGTCAACACAGTGAAGAAAATTTGGGGAAGAGTAAGGGAGTTTCAACTGATCAGATGAAGGCATCTGGTTTAAGCAGGGACTCATTGTGCCAGAAAAGCCATTAATTATGTTGATAAGCTCTCTGTTAACTATAAGAAGAATCTCACATGGCTTGCCAGGATTATGCTTTTTCCTCAGAGACCTCTAAAAAGGTCTTCCCTGTATATGTGCAAAATGGCTGTTGAAATTTTGTGGTTCTTCCACTACTGGTGATTCTTTATACTGGGGCATGGCATTGCTGAGTTGAACATCACAGAGCTGAGGCTGTGCTGTGATTCTTGCCCTGACTCACCTGCCATAATCATTGCCTGAGATGGGCCTAATCATGTCGGGCACCTTTATTGCTGCTAGGACTCAGGTGAGTATCTGAGAGGTGCTCTGCTGTCCAAAATCACACAATGCTTCAGTCTGAGGTAATGGAAGGAACCCCAGTATAAGGTGTGTAGAACCCACCATAGATAGGTGCAGATTCCTAACATCATGAGTCCTCCTCAACTTCCTGAGTTCAGAAAGATATTACTGCATTGAAACCTGCATTGAAACCTAATGTGATGCAGAGCTCATTTTATAGAGTTACCATGGTGTTTTGTGGTATATAATTAAAGAGAGCATCTTTCTAGAGCAATAATAGTGAGGTAGGAACCAGACATGTTATATACTTGAAAATGAGATAGCCCAGTACATGGAAAAGCACTTTGAAATAAGAAATTATGAAGTTCAACAGAAGGACCAGAGCAGCCATACAAAGTCAATGTAAGTCTAGATAAGGTCCAAATGTGCAGCAAGAGTTTCACTCACTCAATCCATTCCTGAGAAAAATCAATGTTATGTCTGCATGGCATTTTGCTGTTCAGAGTGACTGGGGGGGCTCAGGGAATGTGGACAGTGCTGTGCTGGGACTGAACTAATACAGCTATATGCATATACACACATGTGCACCCAAACCCAGAGAAGCTTACTAGCTCAAGCTCTGACCTGTGCCCATGGTTCAGGATAAGCAGCACAAATTTTTGTACACATGCCTCAGAAGCACATCAGGATGGACCGCTTCTGTGAGGAAACAACTGTGGGAGCAGACTGAACCTGAACAGTCACAAAGGCCTGAAATTCCAATTTTTTTCATCTAGGTCAGTTTACACCTGAGTGAAGGGGATGTAAAACCTTCTGTGCTGATGTATTTCTGCACTTGCATAAGATGTTTTACCAGGCACAGGTCAGCAGAGAATCCAGCCTAAAGGAAACTCATGTAGAGCAACAATTGCTTTTATTTCTCACCTGTAAAAAGGGGAGAAGGGGAGAAATTTGACCCTAATCAAATAAGGCAATGGTCAAGAAAATTCACAGTTTTTTTTACTCTGATTTCCTTGTTTCTAAATATGAGCCAGTGGTCTCTTCTGCTGCAGTTACCCCTGCTAGCTGCTCACTTGCCTTTATTCTTTGGGGAGAAGGCTTTCTTATAGACCAGCTATGCTATGCAAAGACAGCTTCTGGGTGGCCTTGTATGCAAATAGGCCAACTATGTTTTTATTTTGCCAGCACAGCTATACATTTTCCCCATTTACCAGAGGATTCTTACCTTGCCTGAAGATATTTTATTCTGGAAAGCATATCAAGATGCCCTGCTGAGTATTGCTCTATCACATCCTTTACATCATAAGGCCTCAAAGTCTCCTTGAATTTTTTTTTATAGAGACGAAACTGTAGTATTCTGCATAATAAACAGAAAAATTACTAACTTCTTATATAAATTCCAGAATGATAATTTGCAGTTTCATCAAATAGTTGATAAATGCTCTGGATGTTTGGAAATCCAGCAACAAGGCAATAAAACATAAGCAGAGAATCTCTAATATCATACCACATTTGTAAATACATAGTAGCTGGCTTTTCATAATTAATAGGCTAAACCTAATTATACACACAAAATGTCTTTTTCAGCACTATCATCATAACTAGAAATGGTTCAAAGCTACAAGATCATATTTGGAATTTGATTTTGAACAACACAAGTCACAGGAGATTTTGAAGCTATGAAGCTGAAGCTGCTTTTTTTATGCTTCAGCCTATTATAAAGCTAATTTATTGTATCTATAATGCTGAATCATTTTCAGCTTGGTTTTCATTTTGCACCTGGGAAAGTTTTGGATAGGAAATGTTAATTAGAAAGAAATGTGGAAGTTAAGAAGTCAGCAGCAGTTCAAGTTGTGGAGAAAAGAAAATGTGTTAGAACTGCCTAAAGTGTCCTTGAAAAAACAGCAGTATAACATTATTGTTGTTGATGTAATAATCATCATCATCATCATCATCATCATCATCGCTGTTATTATTACTATTATTATAAAGTGTCCTAGTAATTAATAACAGAATTCTTATAATAAGGACCAGTGCTGGCCAGAGCACTTGAAAAATGTTTGGCATTCTTTTTTTCATTCTTTTCTGTTTATACATTAGTTTACACTGTTATATCTTGGTAGATTAAACAGACAAGAAACATATGTAAAGAATGAAAAGCATTTTATTTCTTTAATCTGTCTTAGGTTTGAGATCCAAGGGTTTGCTTTCTCAGTAGAGTCTCCATGTTCTTATTGGTCTGAATTGGGGAATTGCTGTCATCTGTTAAGATTCTGACCTGTTTTTTATTCAAGGTTGGAGGGTTTTTTTAACCTTTTAAAAATCTGTATAAACTTTCATTTAGCAAAGATAATTCTATTACGACTTTTTAAGGGTTTTTGACTCTTTAACTCTGTTGTTTATAAATCTTTCAAGATTTCAAAATTATATCTATGCCTATTATAACCAAACTATACATGATAACAGCAAAACTATACTTAAAAAAGATAAATGAAAAATAGGAATCACACTGTTAGCAATTTCAATTTAAAATCTCCTTGATCATGACCCTGAAAACCCATTAAGGCTTTTGTCCGAAAGAATTACTTCCCATTAACATTCAGGGTCTGGGTAAACTATACAAGAAAAAAAAAAAAAAGCCTGGCTCATGATTGAGTTTAAAGGGAAATTGCATGAATCAATTAGATTTGCACAGGATGTGGGAAAGGAAGTTTTGCAAAGGTAATAATAGCATGTCTCATGGAGGTGGGGCTGGGAAACAGGACAGATGTATATTCTGTGTTTGAAAGCAAGCAGGTATCAGGGAAAGAAAGGGAAAACTGTGGAGGAAGTAGGGATGAAGGAACTTCCAGTGAGAGGGAAGCAGTCATGGGTAATGTGAGCAAAGCCTGCGGGACATGGCTTTCAGCAGGCTTGAGAAAACTTGGAAATTTTAATGACTGGTTCTCCTGCACCCAATTGGAAAAGAACCAGGAGAATATATATTATGGTTACATACATATAAGTATATAGTTATATACTTATAATCATCTTCCTTGAAACTTTTCTAAGAAGATAATTTTGGGGCACTCCAGACTTGCAGTATTTCACCTGGAAGGTAGTAACTCCCTGGCCAAAACTTAACAACTTTTGGAATAAAAAGCAGTTGCAATGAAAGCAGAGTATTTTCCTATGGGGCATTTTTCAAGGGAAGAGAGTAAAAAATACCGGGTGGAGAAGTAACAGAGCATCAATGAATGAATTCTACGTGCTTGATGTGCTAAACACATTATCAAGCCTTAATAGGAGTTTTCAAACCCTAAGGAATATCTGTTGTGATACCAAAATAGAGGTGACACATGTCACAAGCTGAAGACTGCTGAAATGGAGACCTCAGCATCTATTAAATATGACAGCTGAAAAGTACATTGCACATTCATACAATTGTGAATAAAAAAGAGTTAAGTCAGCTCAGAGTTTATTGTTAAGCAAAAATTCCAGTTTTACATAAATACTACAGTCACTAAATTGAGCAAGATACTATATTTACAGCATATTTTAATGAAGAACTGTACACAATATTATTTTATAATAAATATATTTATGGAGTATCTTGCAAAAATGGCATGGTCAATGTTACTGAAAAAAATTTTCCTTTCTGCATAATTTTAAAGAGGACTTTAAATAGGGCCTGTCTTGTGCTTTTCAATATATCTAGAATTATCTAATCTATTGCATTTTTAAAAAGTAATAACAGCAACAATGAATCAACATGTAGCAACATGGTAATGTGAATTCCTGAAGCATAAGCATTCAAAGTCAAAGCAAAGCATCGAAGAGCATCAGAGACATTTACCTGACAGCTCGGATGGCTGTCTTGAATGTCGGGATCATGTCTTCCATAAGGAAGTCGCTACTGTCGCCTCTCTCTTCTGCCATGGGTTCCCCTGTTCCGGCATCTGCAAAGCAGGTCAAAAAAAGCTGTGTGAACATCTGACCACATGATGTTTAGAGGGAGATCTGGCTAACTAAAGCACTTGTCCTGGTTTCGGCTGGGAGAGACTCAATTTTCTTCCTAGTAGCTGGTACAGTGCTGTGATTTGGATTTAGGGTGAGAATAATGTTGATAACACACCGATGTTTTAGTTGTTGCTGAGTAGTGCTTACACTAGTCAAGGACTTTTCAGCTTCTTATGCCCTGCCAGCGAGAAGCTGGGAGGGGGCACAGCCAGGACAGCTGACCCAAAGTGGCCAAAGGGCTATTCCATACCATGTGATGTCATGCTCAGTACATAAACTGGGGGTGGTTGGCCGGGGAAGGGGTGACCGCTGCTCGGGAACTGGCTGGGCATCGGTTGGCAGGTGGTGAGCAATTGCATTGTGCATCACTTGCTTTGTATATTCTTTTATCATTATTATTATTTTATTTTCCTTTTCTGTCCTATCAAGTTGTCTTTATCTTAACCCACAATTTTTTTTTTTTTTTCCCCCGATTCTCTCCCCCATCCCACTGCGGGGGGTGGGGAGTGAGCGAATGGCTGTGTGGTGTTTAGCTGCCTGCCGGGTTAAACCACAACAGCACTACATAAAGTAAGTGTAATTTAGTAAAGGAACATATCTTGCAGGTTCCTCTTTCTCTGGTCAGCTCTTGAAAGGGTTTTCATAATTCTGCTGGGACAGCTGTAAGATGCATTATTTGAGGGATCTCCTCTCAGATTCCAGCATTTCTGAAACTTGGGAACTTTTGTTCCTTTCCAATGGATTTAGAAGTTCCCACTTTTAGGAGCTTTTACAATGATAAATCTTTGACAAAATTATTTTACATAAGGCTAAAACACGTGTAGAAGCTACAGGCTAAGTTCTCCTCCCACTTGCACTACTTGGAGCTCATGTAGCTTCATGGAAGAGGATAATCAAGTTCCCGGTGTGGACACCGAGACTACATCCATGGTAGTCTGCCCAGCATGCACTGATACCAGCTGGCACAATAATGGAGAAACTGTTATGTAGAGACCATTTAGATGCTATAGGCAAGAAAAGGCAAATGTGGGCTCAGGGAAGCTGAGAGGAAAAATGCCCTATGATGTTGCATGGACATCCAAAGAAAATCTGCTGAGGGGCAGCAGTCTTAGGGAGAGTGGGAGGGAAGCAACTGTTGACTCTATAAAACAAGGTTTTAAGAGATTGCAGAGGAGATATTTGAGATGCCTGGACACACGCTAGTGCAGGGCTGGATGCAGTCTAGGAGGGAGCTACCTTAGCATAGCATCCCTGCTGATCAACCGAGCCATGACGGCATGTGCTTTTTGGGGGATATAGATTCACTGCCCAGTGTGCCCTCTTTTTCCAGGTCAGATAGGTTGATTCCACCACTGGCTTTATCCCGTATCAATTACTGTTTTTATGGAGGGCCATTGTATTATTTCAAGCACTATGTTGCCTGGACTCCAGCATTCATTTCCTGGAGCTTCCCCAAATGTGCTATGTAAAACCAGGGAACAGCTATGCTTGGCCCAGAAAGTCACAAACCTTCAACAGAAGATGCAGAGGAACAAAGTAAAATGGGGGAAATAGGGGATGGATAGAAAGAAATCAACACAGATGGGCTACCTTCTGAGCTTTGCCAAAAAGCGTACGCTTTCATTCGGAATGCAGTGCGAAAACGCTCCTTATTATTCAAGACAACATTCTTAGGCTCTTTTGAAGGACTTTCTTCAATGGCATCTACATTCAGAGGGGTAAATAGCTTTCCTTTAGTATTGGTACCACGAACCCGATCCAAGAGACCCAGCTTTTGGCTACAAAATAAGCAAAAGTAATCATTTTCCTCCTTTGTACACTTTTAATTTCTTTTCATGATGCTTTAAGTACATAATGGGCTAAATAAATGTTTTGTACACAAGGACACTGCTGGGGCTACCATAATACATCAATGTTTTTGTAAGCAACAGCTAAGCTCCACAGATAATTAATTACTAGATACATGGTAGGGCAGAATACTCAGTTGTCTCCACCATTCACTTTCAGTCCTCTCTCACTATACTAGAAATTGAGGTGACCTATATGAATTGTAGTAAAGTGACATATTTTGTTCCTATGATGATTCCTTGCACTGTCCTCTTACAGATTTACTGACCAAAGACATTTTTCCTTCAGTGACAACATAAAGCTAGAATTGCATCTACTTGCCATCTTACCAGCATCAGTAACCCTTCTGACAGCCTTATGACTGTAACAGTCTTAAATGCAATTACTAATACCACTGAAAAGAGCAACAAAAAAGGAAGTTGCTAGTGAGTGTATCAGCTTAAATATGCTCTGAACACTTCATAGGTGAAAGATGGTATAATTATTTGATTTGTTTGTTCACTTTGCTGCTTAAATATTTGTCAGTTGCACATTTGTTAAAAAAATGTGGGGCTAAGCCATGGGAAGAAAACCTGCCTTTTGATGCATTCCTGGATGTTGCAGTGTGGGGCAGCTCTGGGGAGAGGTGAATTCTGCACATGTGATCAAGAGGCACTTAGGTGCAGGAGAGAAGGGCAGGCAGGTTGAGTGGGGGGAGAGAAGAAGCCACTGCAGCTATCAGGTTTCTGAGAGCCACAGATGGGAGCGGAGCAGATCTGAAGGATGAATAGCAGTGGTGACCAGAAGAAAGAGATTTCATAGATATGCAGAGAGGTATCTGTGCAGTATGTTCAGCTGAAGCCACTAAACTTGCTGGCAGGAGATGCAAGCATAGGGAGGGTCCACCATGCAAGGACATAGAGGACAAAGATAGAGACTTGTGTGCAGACCTTGCAATTGAAGGGTCTCACTCACAGAACTACTTATTCTCTAAGGAGTTATCTTGTTCAGATGGATTATTTTTGTGTTCTAGCATCTCTGGTGTCATTGGTGCACCTCTTTCAAAGAAGGATCTATTTCTAGCTCAGAGGTCTGTCTGTGGCAGTATCCCTCCACAATGGAAGTTCTTAGGACATTCCTCTTAAAATGATAAGGGCAAGATGGATTTAAAGACACACATGATGACTTTGCAGCTTTCCAAAAATTGCTGACTCTAGTAGGAATACTGCAGTTTACAGATACAAAATTCCTACATGATCTGAGCATTGAACATCACAGCTGTTACAGGTTTATGTGTGGGTTTTTGTTTTTTTTTTTAATATGAATTACTGGGGCCCTCATCTCTACTATCTGTTTCTGATTAAAATATCTTTGACCCAGAAGGTAATGAAATATGGGCTTCCCTGTCACGAAAGATGGAAGCACTAAACCTTTGTGTAGGATGTTTTTTCAGGCCTTCTGAATTTTCTTGTTGACAATGTGACAATACTTGTGAATGCAATTTCTGCAGCATAGTAAATTCAGATACTTGCCCTGTCATTGCATGTATGAAGTGCATATGTGTGTGCAAGTATGGAAGTGGCAACTAAGAAGGACTTGTGTGAGTATGGAGACACATAGCTAGTCCTGCTATATCAGCATCGCCAAGATTGAAGTCAATGATATGAGAAGATAAAAGCATGGATCTGAGTGGAGAATTAGAACAGTCTAAGTTAATGGTATAAATATTACCCAGACTTTACCCTAATGGAATTTCCTGAGGAATTCATGGCATGGGGGGAAGACAAACAAAGTGCAGACAAGTGTATAGAGCAAAAATCAGGGATTACTTCCTTCTTTGTAGAAAAATATGAGATGTTACTTGTTGACATCTGTGGCAAATTAGTCATCACAGAATGCGTAGGGCAGTCTCATGTTTAGTCTTAAGCACTTGTTTAAAAAGTGGTTTCCATAGTGCTTTGCTTTTGGGTTAGAATCTTGATCTGATAGATCCACCAAGGTGCTCTAAAGGTTAAACTGGTGGTGAATGCAGGGTCCCAACAAGTGTTTTCTGTTCTACTAAGATAGGGAGAATCCTGTGATCTCTTTTCTGCATCACTATCACTTCTCTATTCTTTCAGAGGCCATGTTGAGAGCAGTAGTGCTTTGCAAGATTGATGTCTCAACTCCTTGGCATTTCTGTGAGATTTGGATTCTTCAAGCACTCAGCTACCATATACAGGAAAAATATACACAAGAGAAGACGACAGTTAATGGGCAAGTTTTGAAAGGGCATGAAAAATAAAGGTGAGGAAGTAAAAGTCAACTGAGTTGTGTGTACTTTTTGAGGGGTAAAATAGGGAAAAAGAAATTCTCATGTCTCAATGGTAATAAAACCAAAGTTTGAAGGAAGAATTAATTTTGAGAAGGATGGTCAAGAAGAGTCTGGAATCATGGCACATGACTGAAAAGGATTTTAATGCAAAGAAATGCACCAAAAATCTAGCTGAGTGATAACAAAGAGTCAGCCAGGCAATATAAACTGGTGGATATGAAGATGTTAGAGGGAGTGAGCTTGTGAGGTCTTCAGTGTGAAGAAAAACAGACAGAGCAATTAAGAATGCCTGGCATCATGATGATCTTTGTAGACTGAAGGAGACTGTGAAATAAGCTACAAGAAGGAAGAAACTGAAGCAGTTTTAGGATGAGTAGATCTATTCAATGATAAGAATATGAAGACATTTTCCCCTAGGTCTGAACAAATTGTATGTACAACAGGCTTGTTGTGGAGATCAGTTTTTCCTGGTGGGGTCACCAATGATCGATTAATCTCAAATGAAAGGGGAGACCACAGTCCACCTATTCTTCAGGATTTCAAGATTGATCATCTTAGTTCAAGACCTTCCAGGATGACAAGGAAGCTCCTAGAAGGATGAAATCTAGCAGTGAAACTCAGATGATGTCAGATGATGAGGTGATTTCCTCAAAGGAAAGAAGTGGTCACATACTACACATTGACTTCAAGCAATGTATTAAATGTCACAAGATTTGGTTTAGTTACACTACAGAGAAGTTCTTAAGAGAAGAATATGTTTGAGGCGAGAACCTGAAAGACAAAGAAGCAGAAAAATAGGTGAGACAGAGGATTCCTATTGTTTATAAATAGCAGTTTAATACTATATTAGAAGAATAGAGTTGTCATTACATACGGCCTCTGACTCTCTCTCCAGAAACTTATTTAGTCCTTCAAAGTACCTATCCAAACGTCTCAAAGTTTGCCCCTTAAAACTCCTGTAATAACTGCCGTCCTTACCAAAAGACAAGGAGGCATAAAGTGCATTGCAAGGAACTATAGAGATCGGACCAGCAGAAAAAGGGTCAGTGGATGATGGAAAGTATCCAAAACATTATCTTGCGGATTGTTTTTTTTCAATATGGGACAGAAATATAGGCAATATATGCAGAAATCTCTGCCATGGAGCTATACAAGAATAGGAGTGATCAAGATTTGATATCCTCCTCATAGATCAAAACAGATCAAAATATTCATCTGCATCCAGCACAAAAGGCTACTTATGATGTTTTCTACTGCACATGTAGGCACACTTATTTGTGGGTTGGTTTTTTTTTTGGTGGGGGTGGGGATTTAAGGTAGATAATGTAAACCAAAAGCATTCCCAAATTCTCTTTCTAGGGAGTTTCTCAACTTTCCCCATTGATAAGTGTCAGTTTAGGAACAAACCGTTGTCCCAAGACCGTTGCTCATGCATCTTAGGTTTAGGAGCTAGAAGTCATCTGATCTGTCTTAAGGTGTTTGAAAAGTTAAATGTCCTGTCTAAGATTAATCTTTAGACCCCTTTCTATAATAAGTGGGAAGTTAGCAACGTACAGAGTGCAGTTCAGCTCCATTTCACCTTGGGATGAGTTTACAGATGCGGGAACTTGTCTCTTGTTATTGACTACAGAAGGATCTAGATGAGAAGTCATTTAAAAAGCAGGTCTCTAGTCCAAGCTAAAGTTACCTGAGCTGAAGCCTTCCTCATTAATTGAATCCTGATGATTAACCCTTAAAGTAACATTCAGATTCATAACAGTATGTTTATGCAATAAATATAGACAATTGTGTTCATATCCAGGCAGCCAGAGCAGTAGAATAATCAGAAAATAATTCATCAGCTTCACATGAAAAAATACAACAGTATGTTGTATATAAAAAAACCAAAACAAAACCCAAGCTTCTTTCCAGATAATGACTAGCTGTCATCAGAGAAAAAATGGACTTTATTCTCATTTCCAAGGGATGAAATCTGGGTCTGCTGGGGTTTTTGTTTTCATTGTGCTTTTTAAAAAAACTTAGGAAACATTTGTTCTCATGACACAATCTCCTTCATTAAAACAGCATGCGCGTGGCTCAGTCTCAGAGTATGAAGCATGCGCAGATCACATCATCCTTCATGAGAGTGGCTAGGACAGTGGTTCCCACCCACAGGTTTATGTACTGCTGCTTGTCTTTCAGACTCCTCCTCCTGGTATTAGCTACATTCCTCCCCTTGGGACAGTGGTCCCACTTCATTTGGCTTCCTTACATTCAATAAAATGTGATTCCTGACTTCCAGCACAATTCCAGAAACTGGGGGGATTCAAATGTATCCCAAACATGCTGATAAAAGTGCAGAGTACTTTCTCTGACTAGCTTGGATAGGTTGCCATTGCTTGTCTTGCATGCTATTGCATCCTCTTCCTTGTGGTTGAATAAAAATTTTCCCAAAACCTGTGTCTTTGAAGTGGAGTCCCAGCATGAGAACTCCTTAATTCTGTAGTAGATACAGACCACCATAAAAGGAGGAAGGCAGAAGCAGTGCAGACAGTTTGGCTTCCTAGCTAAAGAACAATTCAGCTCTCAGATTCTTGCTCCCCAAGAGCAGTGGGAATAATTTTGAAACATCTGAGAGATGAATTTGGTGGCTGAATA